GCCTGTGATGTGGAAGAGGAAAATTTGCCACGTTTATTAACACGTATGGTCCAACCATGTGTGTTATCCAGATGACACAATCAGTTCCCCTTCGTGATATGATCTAGGCCGAGGAGCGACCGGATAACCAAACTGCGTGATTTCAAAGCGCACATTGTTCGTGATGCTGCGTTCTGGACAGACATAATCAGTCAGTAAGGTATTGGCACAGCCAGTGGGAACGGCGACCGGCTGCTCTCACAGTCGGTCACTCATGGCCTGACGATTTCGAACACAGTTTGATTGTGTGCGGGTGACAGAGTTAGTTGGACGTACCCACGGAGTGGTCACACTCACCTGATCGATTATAAGATCGTAAGTTTGATTGCATGTCTGCACGGTGGTATGTGTGCGAGGTTGCAGCTGAGTGGACATACCTCGGATGACTTTGATGTTGTCGCTGGTGTGAAGCAAGGCTGTGCCTTAGCCTCTGCTCTGTTTTAATATTTACCTTAATGCTATGATGTCTGGTACTTTTGATGCTGCGTGCGATTACGGTGTCCGTGTGGAGTACCGTATTGATGGTGGGTTTCTGAACATCGGTCCTTTCGGAGTGAGAACCCGAGGATTGTGCGTTGTTTGCACGTAGTGCGGGTGAGTCGAAACGCATGACGATTGCTTTACCTCCTACAACTAACAACTTCGGACTGACAATCAAGACAAGCAAGAGGGTTGGCTTTTTCAGCCTTTACCAGAATCGAAATCCTGATGGTTGCCTCAAATCTAGATTGGTAACGACGTTTCGGAAATCACTTCCGGATTTTGCTATCTGTGGAGTGTACTTTTGACCGACCTGTAGATGATGAACGAGTTGCTTATTCGAATATCGAAGGCGGCTGCCGCACTCGGAAAGCTGAAGAATCAGGGTGTGTGGAACAATCATAAGTTGAACATTGGAAGGAAGCTGATGGTATACAAGGCAATAGTTCTGTACGTTCTTCTATACGCCAGTGAAACCTGGACGTTTTAGCGGACGTCCATTAACTTGGGTATGATTTCAACAACAATGCCAGCGTCGTATTCTGCGGATTGGCTGGGGTAAAAATAGTTTCAAACGCGGAGATGCTCCGACGTAGTGGTATGTATGCAGTGGACTGCATACTTCTACGGAGGCACCTGAGGTGGTTCGGGCATGTTCGCCGCAGGGATTCGACATAGACACCGAAACAGCTGGTATATGCTTAACTGTGCGCAGCGAAGCGGAACGTCAGAGAACAGAAGAAGCTGTTGAGTCAAAGGCGAAATGTGGTGCATATACCAGCCTATAGAAAACCGATTTGTATTCCAAAATTTTGACAATTAGGAAACCGAAGTTGTTGTTAAAAAACGCCATCAAGATGAGTATATCACGAACTAATGTTGATTTCAGGTGTTGGGAAGCGATGCAGGGGATCGATCGTTGATGGGGGAGAGCATTTCAAGAGGGTGGGGTTTCCCAGTTGCATGAGAAAGCACTGCTACACATGCGGAACAGAAAGGTCGGTTGAGGAACCCATAAGCGCCGATGGAGGATAGCCCATCGATATCGAGCGCATGGTACTGCAGCATAGGTGATCGCGAGTGTCTGAGCGAAGCCAGCTTGGTAGGCCAGGAGGGTTCTTAAGCGGGTTCAATATCGAAAAGACGACGAATAATTTGAGTAGTTAATCATCATCAGAGTAGCGCTTGGTATGTACGCTGCCTCCGATTCAATTTACTAACCCAGGCACCAGCACCGGGATGGCAACCAGGTGGATCGGAGTAGTGAGAGCTATGGGAAGCGCCATGATGAGATGAGGGAGGATGCCGGAGCGCCACGGATGGAGCACCCCCAGCCAAGGAAACCCAGACCAGAGCAGGCAAGACGGAAGGCAGCCACGTATGGGAGGAGGCAGAGGCGACCAGGTTGCCATTCACGTCACGCCGTAGGAGCCCTCGAGGCGCCTTACTAACCCAAGAGTACGCGCGGCTAACTCCAGACAGCAACCCAGTGCGACCAGGGGGTTTCGCCGGCACGACCCAGGGGGCCAGACGAACCCAGCCAGGGATGGCGAACCCACGAAGCATGACATGAACAGAGGGAACCCAGAGGGAGACCTGCAGCAGAGACCCAGCCGGCACAAGCCAATCAGCCATGAGCTGCAACCCACGGCGCCCAGGACCCACCAGCGTTACTAACCCAGAACCCAGGGGCAGGAGGGCAGCCAGGGCAGATCGCCATCTGCCAAACCCAGAACTAACCCACGGATCGCCCGTAGTCGAGCGAAACCCCAGCACTGATCTACCCACCATCCCGCTCAGGTCACAAACTGGGTCAGTTGGGCCTTCGATTGTGACCAGTGCCATTGTTCAACTCCGACCTAACCCAAGCCCAGCCCAGACCCAGGAGGGACAGCGAGTCTAGGAACCCAGTGCAAGAGGGCCAGATCGGAATGGTGCCCAGGGCGGGAACGGAGACTAACCCCGCCACCAAGGGAAAAGGGCCAGAAGTCCCAGTACCAGGGGTAGAGTGCAATGCAGCAGAGTTAACCAGGCCCAGCAGCAGTTTAGTGGAGTCAGGTAAGTGTACGGCCGGGCGCTAACTAACCCACTCAGGGTACCACGCCAGTAGGTTCACCCAGTGCAGGAAGGACCCCCGCAGGGCCAGCGGACTAACCCAGCAAGTGAGCAGATGCCCTCCAGAGGGATGGCGCTCCAAGTAAGACCCACGTCCCAAGGTCCAGAGGACTTATATACCCCAGCCATAGAGAAACCCAGGTTAACCCCGCCCCGCCGGAGGAACCCTGCGTGCTGGGTGGTGTCCCAGTTCCTACGCCCTCCAGGAGTCCGCGAGCGCCCAGCAGCAGATGAGCTAGACCCCAGGTCCAGGTAACCCAGGTGTCCCACGGGTAACCCATGGACTACCAGGAGATGGGGGCCCCGAGATGCAAGAGGGAGATCCCCAGTGGTAAAAACCCCGTCCAGCATAACCCAGGTGCAGCATGTAGGGACAACCCAGTGAGTAAGTGATGAACCCAGCTTGAGGATGAGCCGGCTTCATACGCCCAGAGGATAGTACCCAGAACCCATCCCATGGCAGCGGGTACTACCCAGGCCCCGGTAGGGCGTCTAACCCATCCATAGTCGTGGACACGAGCGGGCAGCAGGATAACCTCAACTAACCCAGCTCCGACCAGCCCAGTACCCAGCAGCCAAGTGTTACAAACCCGAGAGGAGGATTGGTAACCCCAGGGCGCCCAACGAGCGGCCAGGGTCGGCCCAACCAGGAGACCACGAGGTCAGGGGTAACCCCATGGATCGCATCAATTTTTGGAAGACCGTCAAGTGGTCTAACCCAGCCACGCAGCAGGCCATATGATGGTCCGGCCAGGACAGGCCCATAAGGCCACAGCCAGCCCTGGGCCAACTCCAGGGGTCTGCTGATTTACTAACCCAAGTACTCCAGCGTCCCACAAGACCCAGCCAACCACGACCCAGCAGGAGCGTTATGGCCAGAAGCCAGACGTGGACAGCGCCCAGGAATCGGCCATCAACCCATGCCCAGTGGGGCAGCTGGGCGACCCAGGGTGGGAGGAGCTGGCCAAACCCACAGAGGCCATAAAAAATAGCAGTGTGATACCCAGGGTGTCCATCTGGAGGAGGGCCGCCCAGGTGGACGCCCGGCCATTAATGCGATCGGTATGGCATGTCTACTACATCACCGGTGCATTTGGTCTGTACGTGTTGAGTTGCTTGCATTTCAGCTGTTGTTTGTTGCTTGCTGTCCCCGGTATGGCTGTGCTTGACGTGAATGTTGACAAAATGCCTACATGTCTAGTACCCTCAACCTCGATTACTGGCACCAGGAGACTGCGGGTCGTGGCTAGGAAGGGGACTGGGTTCACGGTCCTCCTGGCTGTACTAGACTCAACGAGTGGTTCTATTCACTGTGGAACGGACTGCGGCCCAACCACCACTTTGTGTACGTCTGGTACACATGATTTTCCGATTTGACTGACTGGAATGTTGCCGCTGTGCACGTTGATGAAACGTGGCTCCTATCCACATACCTTCCAGTACTATTTCTTCGGGTTCACACTGGAAATGGGGTATGTGGGTGGAGCAGCACAAGCCCCCCCTTATCCCTCGTGCATGGCGTCGGGCCGTCCTGTGGTTTGTTCTTTAGAAGCTGCAGTGATAGGCAAACAGGAAGCGAATGCCCGCCAAACACAACACAGAGTACACACACATCATATTCAGTATGATCTCTATATATATATAATATATGCCCAAGAACGGTAGACAAACGTCAGGAGCGTCGACTCTTTCATCGTAACTTGCCTTAGTTTTGCATCTTTTTTGCTCAGTGAGATATAGAAACTACAGCTGCACGTTCGAAATAGCGGTTACGGCTTGTTTGCTCACAAAGGGGCTGTGCACCCACTGTGTGAGGTGCGATCATCCTTCACTGCCATGCGTGTTTTCTACGTCTACCAGCATAGGTTGTCCTACTGAGAACCGAACCTCCCTTGCGGATCCGCGATCATTCCAGTGTGAATAAAATATGGAGCTTGGAAATAAATGATTGGTTAGTGAGAAATTTAACAGAATTTAGGTGGTATATAACGGACAACTGACGAGTCACGAAAGGGACCAAACGGCCTGTCTTGGTGCAAATTGTGCATGCGTAGTTGTCAGTCAAGACGGAGTGCCGCTGTGCCGAATCTCTTCGAGGGAACACGGCTTAGCATGCCACCGAGTTCTCGGTTTAGAGTATCCAGTTATATACATGCCGGCGACGACAGGATGGCCCGTGATATTCGGCAAAGATGGCCACAACAATTCTGACGGTGTAGAATTCGACCACCTTATCCGTGGCTTGATATAATGCCACACCTGCAGGAATTAATAGAAGCCGATCCCTATTCAAACAGAGGAGAGATCATACATGGAAGATGTGAAAAGCCAGCGCAATGGAAGCGAAAGCGCAACAAATCACTAACCTCTTTCTGTGCCAACAGTTCGAAGGCCAGTTCTCGCGGCAAAAGACCTTGAAACCACGGTGCCTGTCTGAGCGCTTCCCATTCTTTGCGTGGTCCCGGCCAGGAGGGCGCAGTAACACTTGAATTGCTGGACTGTATTGGCTGTGGTGTCTGAGTTGGAGTAGGAGTGGGTGTCGCCGTGGGGGTTGGAGTTTCAGCCGATAAGGTGGATGTAGACATTACACCGGAGCCAATTCCTCCGAATCGGATAGATGTTGGAGCGGCAGACCACCCAGGAAGGGAAGCAATCTCGGTGGGGACAAGAGCATTCACAGGAGCTGGGGCAGAAGTCCTGCCGGTAGATGAGGGAGCGACTGCAAACATGTAACGGCGCTTGCGAGGAAGTGAAAGCCGGGTAACTCTCGGGGCTGGGGCGAGTGTCAGGTTGCTGAGGTTTTGTATGATCGGTGTAAGTGGCAAGCTAGATTGCTGTTGTTCCTAATCACAGTCTTGTGT